TAAGCCCTGCCTCCTCATTGCATAAGGCTAAGCGTCGCCTTTCCCCTGCATGAGACTAAGCACTATCTCAAATCTTGCATGAGGCAAAGCCCTGCCTCCTCACTTGCATAAGGCTAACCATTGCCTTCCACTTGCATGAGACTAAGCACTGTCTCAAACCTTGCGTAAGTCTAAGCTCTGCCCTTCCAGCACGAGACTAACCATAGCCTCTCCTTGCATAACCACAAACGTTGCTCCATTCCAAACCTTGCATTGTTCTCTTTTTTCGGGGCTAAGCTCTGCCCCCGACCCTGCACAAGACTAAGCTCTATCTTGTTTTATCTCAAGCATCATGTCTCTGCATCTCATGGGCTGATATATAGCCAATTTGTCCAAAGGCGTCATAGTCCGAAGGTGTCATCCTCATAGCCTGAAGACACCATGTCATGGCCTGAGGATCTCTCAATATTGCACGTCATTATTCAAAGGCGTCATGGTTCAGAGGCACCATTCTTGTGGCCCGAGAACATCATTTCATGGCCTGCGAATCCCTTATCTCATGATTCATGGCCCAGGACGTCATGGTCTAAGGACATCATCCTCACCGTCCAAAGACAACCTTCATGGTCCAAAGGGAGTCTGCGTCATGTTTAAATTCTCGCAGTAATCCATATATATTTGCACGCATCGTGCTTTAAGTTTCGCAGGTAATCCAAAAAGTAATTGTTCTGCAAACGGGAGCAATCTTCGCTCCGTTTTTTGTTTACAACATTCACATTCCGCAATGTTTTACACATAACCGACTCCCATCAATTACTCGCCTTTACTCTATGACCCGTCAGATATCTGCCCTATGATACATCCGTTACGTTTCAGATTCACATTCATAACTACGCATAAATCCATCCGATAATATCCTTCCCAAGAGAACCCTTTCCGAAACACACGACTATTCCTATAACAATTCCATCGATTTCATTCATTGGGTCCAGAACTACACACGACCTGATTCCTGTAAAACCAGGGATATGTAGGCAGCTCAGAAGCCAGAGTGCGGCCTATATCTTTCAGATCACCCTATTCGGTCAAAATCGGTCATCATTTCTTTACCCGACAACTCTTTCATCCTTCCCGGGTAAAGAGGGGCAGCTGTTGATACCCAATTTTTATATATATATATATATATATATATATATATATATATATATATATATACCTTCTAATACCAAGCTAACTCGGAATAGCATGTTTATAATGAACAACTCGGAACTTACACGAACATCGTGGGATTTAATTCTAAAAGAGAGGTTTAGCCAACATACCTCGCCTTGAGCTTCCTTAAATTACTACAATATTCTGAAAACTTTAGCCACTTCGATCTATTTAGAAATATATAAAAATTGAATACAAATTAGGAAGGAGTTCATGGTTCCAGCTCATTTCAGCATTTTATCAAGCACTAGGTGGGCATTATGTTTTCTAGCTTCTCCTATGGTGGATTTCCCTCACCCCACAACCCAAGGTTTACCCATTTGGGCTTAACTACCTTCCCACACTCATGATTGTACATGCATACATAGATACACTCTCATACCCATGAATTGATTGCTTATTACCTATTTTTAGTTAAATTTCGAAATTGAGGGTTAGGGTGTAGAATCTTACCTCTAGGATGAAGATCTTGTGACTCTTTCTTGTGAATTCTTAAAGACTTGAGCCAAGAATTGTAAACACTTAGCGTAGTTAGGACCAAAAAAAATAGACCCCAAGTTGTTTTTATAAAAATGGGGTAGGGTAAAATTTTCCAAACTTAAACTCTATGTAGTCGGGTCTGTGGTTGCAGACCGGACTGCAAAACAGGTATGCAAAGGGGACCGCAGAAAAGGGTCCCATAACTGGGCTCTTCGGGTTGGGTTTGTGGTTCGCAGATCAATTATGCGGTAGCATAATGGACCGTAGAACTTCTTTCTGAAGTTTCTTATGTTGGTTACTTCCACGAATATAAGTCCCACGAAATGATTATGCGACTGCTTAATTGACCGCAAAATAACATCCAAAATTTTCCCAACTCTCTGCTTCACTCTGAGGCGGATTTGCAGTCCACATACCAGTTCTACGACCACAGAATAGACTGCAGAAAATGCTCTGCTCCGCCAAAAATTTTCTCCAACTCCCCAACGCACTGTCCAACCCAAAAATTTCATACCACGGCGAGCAAAATCTCAACATCCATCAACACATAAACTATCTCAACACCGCGAAACTCCGGGTTTTAGGTGAAATTTTACGGGGCCTCACAAAAGGGTGCCAAAAAACATTGATATTATCAACCATGTTCCTAGAATGGTTTTGAAGAGCTGAATGATAGGTTATGGGCTGAACCTACTATGGAAGAGGTAAATCAGGCAGTGTTTGGCTTAAATGGAGATAGTGCTGATGTAACGACCCAGCCAGTCGTCTTGAGAGTTAGAGCCCTAATTCCCTATTAACTGCTTCTCCCGTATCTATTTCTACAATTGTGACCTTCCGGAAGGGTTCATTTTGGTTTTTGGAAGTGTTTGGGACACTTAGTCCCTAAAACGGAGGCTTAAGACTTAGAATTTGGACCGAAGTTGGAACTGTGTGAAGACGACTCCGGAATGGAGTTCCGTCAATTCGTTTAGCTCCGTTGGGTGATTTTGGGTTAGGGGCGTGAGCAGATTATGTTTTTGAGGTCCGTAGCTCATTTAGTCTTGAAATGTCGAAAGTCGAATTTTTGGAGTTTTGGGCTGGTAGTGGAATTTTTGATATCGGGGTCAGATTCTGATTCTAGAAGTTGAAGTAGGTCCTTAGTGTTAAATATTACTTGTGTGCAAAATTTGGGGTCAATCGGCCATGGTTTGGTCGATTTCGGCATCGGTTGTCGAATTTGGAAGTTTCGAGTTAATTAAGTTTGGATTGGAGGGTGATTTGTGTTTTTAGTGTCGTTTGATGTGATTTGAGGGCTCGACTAAGTTCGTATTATATTTTAGGATTGGTTGATATGTTTTGTTGAGGTCCCGGGGGCCTCGGGTAAGTTTCGGGTACTTAACAAATTGGTTTGAGAGTTAGGAAAATGGCTGAAGTTGCTGTATCTGGTGTAACCGCACCTGCGCACTCTGGGCCGCAGGTGCGGAGCCGCGGCAGTGGCTATGGAATCACAGATGCGGATATGGGCCTTGTCCAGCTGGGTCTGCAGGTGCAGTGAGGGGTCCGCAAAAGCGGTTGGGGACCGCGGGAGAGTGCTCGCAGGTGCGTCCCAGTGCTCGCAGATGTAGTCCCTACCCACTTAAGAGTATTTCGCACCTGCGATGGTTTTTCCGCAGGTGCGGGGCCGCAGATGCATTTAAGTGACTGGAGGTGCGGTATAACTGGCAGAAAAGGGGCCAAATCAAGGGTTAATTTCATTCGTCACCATTTGAAGGATTTTCAGAGGAAGCTATTGGATTATGAATCCTAACTCGAATTTGGTTATATTTCATTAATCTATTGTTGTTTTCTTGATTTAATTAAGGAATTTGGTTGAGAATGTTGGGAAAATGGGGGGAAAGTTTCCCAATCGAATTTCTGAGTTTTGAGTGGGATTTTGACATCGGATTTGGATAATTTTGGTACGAGTGAACTCGTGAGTGAATGGGTATCCATAAATTGTGACATTTACCCGATTTCGAGACATAGGCTCGAGGAGGCTTTTGGGGCGTTTTTCTAATTTCTTTCCTTAGCTTTGATTTAGTTAGCTAGATTAGTTTCTTGTAGCTATATTTATGTTATGTAATTGGTTTTGGCTAGATTTTGGCCATTCGGAGTCGAATATTTGTGGAAAGAGCATTATTAAGGATTGATTTGAGCTTGGTTCTAGGTAAGTGGCTTGCCTAACCTTGTGGGGGGGGGGGGGGACTCCCCTTAGGATTTGGTACTGTTTAATATATGAGTGTCGTGTAGGTGAGGTGACGAGTACGTGCACGACTATTTGTTGTAAAACTCCATTTTTCACTAAGTCATAAACCTATTTTCTCCTTGTTTGATTAAATTAGAATATGTACTATCATGTAGATTAGAAAAGCATGCCTACGTGTTTTAATTGCCTATTTGATCTCTGTGTAGCATGTTTAGTAAAAATTACCCGGTTTCCTTGATTTGAACTTAATCCAAATTGTAGATTTTCTTGCTATGACTGTTAATTATATTGGTTGAGCGCATATGTACTTTGGGACGACGGAACGGTATTCCGGGAGATCCCCCTGTACCGCATATTTACTTTGGGACTACGAAACGGTATTTCGAGAGATCCCCCAGCACTGCATATTTACTTTGGGACTAATGGAATGATATTCTGGGAGATCCCCCTGTACATTTACGTTTGGGACTACGGGATGGTATCCCGGGAGATCCCCTATTGCTATTACTGTGTTCTGAGTTGTTGGCTTTCATTGAATTCTATTCCTGTTAGATTTCCGTATTTATTTTACTATAATATTTCTTTCTGTCTTATTTCATTATATCTATACCAGTAGGGCCCTGACCTGATCTCGTCACTACTCGACCGAGGTAAGGCTTGGCACTTACTAGGTATCGTTGTGGCCTACTCGTGCCCTTTCCTGCACATTTTTTTCGCGTGCAGATCCAGGTACTAGCTATTAGCCTCGAGTCTAGCTGTGTGGTTTCTGCTTCAGGAGACTTCAAGGTACATCTGCCCACGTCCGCAGACCTCGGAGTCCCCTTCTATCCCCTATGTTCATTTTCTTCTTTTCTGTAGAAATGATGTATATAACAGTTAAGAATTCTTAGAAGCTTGTGACATCGCGACATTTCGGGTTTTGGGAAGGATGATTATTTTTTATGCCGGATGGCACCGTTGCTGCTTATTAATTATATCTGTTAGCAGTTATCCTTGTGTTTTCTCTTCATTTCCATAAATTTTAGGCTTACCTAGTCGTAGATAATAGGTGTCGTCACGACAGTTCACGGAGGGAGAAATTGGGTCGTGACAGCTAGTGGCCCTAATGGCTTCACTGGCAAATTTTTCACTCTTGTTAGGGCATAATCTGTCGGGATTTGCTAAGCATGGTTAGTGTTTTCTTTTGTGGATCAGAACTTCCAAGATTCATTACACACACCAACCTAGTGCTATTGCCAAACAAGAAAATTGTGTCTACCTTTTCAGATTTGAGACATATTAGTTTGAGCAATTTCTCAATCAAGATCATTTCTAAAGTGTTTCATGAGAGGTTAGTAGAGCTTTTACCTACACTCATTTCTCCTAATCAAGCAGGGTTTGTGAAAGGAAGGAGTATTGTGGAGAACATTCTATTGATACAAGAGATAGTGGTAGATATTAGAAAGAGGGGTAAACCATCCAATATGGTGATCAAATTGGATATCGCTAAGGCTAATAATAGGGTGTCTTAATTTTTTTTTTTTGACCAAGGTGTTAAGGTAGATGGGTTTTGGCGAAGGTTTTCATTGATATGTTATTCAGATTGGTTTCAAATAACTGGTATTCAGTATTACTAAGTGGCTGAGAAAATGGATTCTTTAAATCCACAAGAGGTGTCAAGCAAGGTCTCTATCTCCTACCTTATTTATATTAGCAGCAGAAGTGTTAGGGACAGCTTTGGATGCCTTATTTGATAATGCAGATTTCATTGGATTTGAAATGCCAAAGGGGAGCAAAAATATCAATTATCTTTCATATGCTGATGATATATTTAGTTCCTCTCACTTTCATGCAATACAATGGACTACGAATGTGCTTGAAGAATATGAAGTTGCATCTGGACGAAAGGTGAATAAGGAGAAGTCTTCATTTTACATGCGTGAGAATACACCCTATCATGAAGCCAATACAGTGCATCTCATCACAGAGTTTAAGAGGCATCCCTTCCCATTTACTTACCTTGGTTGCCCAATCTTTTATAATAGAAGGCAGGATGTGTTTTATAAAGATATTATTCATAAGGTGCGAATTTACTCCTGGAAAGGCAGGCTACTATCTATAGGTGGGAGAGAAATATTGATAGCACATGTTCTAGAAAGTATGCCAATTCATCTACTATCAGCAGTGAATCCTCCACAGTATGTAATTGCTAAGTTACATAGAATATTTGCAAGATTCTTTAAGAGTAATTCTGGGAATGGCAAGGCTAAGCATTGGGCTTCATGGGATACTTTATGTTTTCCTAAGGATGAGGGTGGTGCAGGATTTAGATCATTACATGATGTCTCTGAGGCATTGTTTTCAAAAATATAGTGGAGTTTTAGGACCAATGACACATTATGGTCTACTTTCATGAGAAATAAATACTGTGAGAAGATCAATGAGGTGATGGTACCTTGGAGAAGTGGCTCACATGTATGGAGAAAAATGTTACAAATGAGAGATTTGATTGAACATCAAATATGGTGGCTGGTGATGAGTGGTGATGCACATAGCTGGTATGATAACTGGACAGGATTAGGGGCACTATACCATGCTATTGGACCTGATCATCGGTGTGATGAATCCATCGCACAAATCACTGAAGTTGTAGAGCAAGGCAGCTGGAATGAAAAACTTCTAAGAGACATGTTCCTGGGGATTTAGAAGATTACATACTGGAGTGCATTGAACCTCCAAATGCTGAGGAACTGAAGACCATTTCACAATCAAGTCCGCATGGCAGTACATAAGAAGAAGGAGAATGATAATATGTTGTACAAGTTTATTTGGGTGAAGGGATTACCATACAAGGTATCTTTTTTCATGTGGAGATTATGGAAGGCAAAAATACCATTAGATGATACATATAGAAGGTGGAGATATCTCTTTCCTTCAAGGTGTTAGTGTTGTAGAAGCCCTAAAGAGGAAACACTTGCTCATGTTTTCTTTAGGTCTCATGTGGCAAAGTTTTTAAGGAAATAATTTAGTGCAGCTGCATGGATTAATATTGAAGGAAAGGTGTTGCTACAGGTGATCGAAGAATGGTGGAGAAAACTAGTGAACACTAGTCTTAGGCCTATTTACCAAGCTATTCCTTCACTGATTGTGTGGCACTTATGGAAGAGAAGGAATGCAGGCAAACATGGGAGAGTGGTGCCCATTAATAAACTGATCTATGAAGTTTATACATCACTGTATATGTTGCTAAAGGTGAGACACAGCAGTCATACCAAATGGTCAGAATTGCATGATAAACTAATGGCTCATAAACCTAAGTTGAAGTGCACTAGGGTCTGGTCGCAGCTGCCTCCTATAGGATGGATAAAGTGTAACACTGATGGAGCATGTAGAGGCAATGATGGTAGAGCTTCTTATGCATATTGTATTAGAGATGGAGTGGGTGATCTACTATATTCACAGGCAGTTAGATTGAAAATGCAACTAATAACATTGCAGAAGCTACAGCCATTCTAGAAGCTCTAAGGTACATTGTGCAATCTCAGTTACCTCCTTGTGTCATTAAAACTAATTATATGTTGATGAAGCAAATCTTAAATGAAGTGTGGGAGACTTCATGGAATATTGTAATACAGATAGAGGATATTAAAAGGCTCATGACTATGTGTACAGTTGCAGTGACTCATGGTCTTAGGGAAGGAAATAAGTTAGTTGATCACCTTGCTAACGTAATGTCAGAACACCAAGCAATTGTACTGGTGAATTCCTTTATGGAGCTAGATATTGAAGGAAGGAAGATCTCAAATAGTGATAAGTCACAGATACCCTACATTAGGGTAAGAAAAGCCTAATTCTATTGATGATGTACTGGGATGACAAGATATTGATGTGGGGAGTCTGTCTAGTAGGGAGAAGGGTGAAGAAATGTTGTGGAGGAGATGGGAAAGCCACTGGAGAAAGAGTATACATCTCCCTTTCTACTGAAATCCTTAGAGTGGAGAGTACGAAGGTTTTTATACTAATATAGTTTTCCGTTTTGCATGTAATTTTGATGGTGCTTGGTCTTATGTTCTAGCCAAGCCTGCAAGGGTGGTATTATCATCTTTCATTCTTATTCCCTGTAGGTGTAACCAGCTCATAAGCCAGCACAAAATTTTACCAAATGAGTTGTGGAGAAGGCCTCAAACAAGCCAACCAAACGGGATATTCAGAGTGTAGCAGTTGGGTTTGGATGGGGAGTATTATGCTATAAGGTGTAATTGCCTTTGTTCTATTAGCGTGCTGGAGGTCTTACAAGATATAAACAGCAGGGTACAGGAATAGTCAAGGGTTATGGGTACACGCAAAAAGCTTTCACTTCCCAGGCGATATAATTTGACACATGGGAGCTGGCATCATTTTGTGAGCTGCTTGATCAGCATATGGAGGTGCTACCAGGTAAACATTGCCTCTATTTTTCATGAGGAAGGTAGTGGAAATAGGTTTGTGCTGGTAATTGTTTTGTACAACCATGAATTACTGAGGAAAAGTCGCAACAACAATAGTGTTACATGGACCTGGACAGTTAGGATGGGCTTCATTGCGCATGTGTTATCAACTAGTCTAGCTTTGTTAAGATTGGATCATTGTTCTAGGAATCAACTAGTACTAATGTTTGCTATGAAGTACAATCGCTTATCCTCGGAATCATATGTGAATTAATGCAGTGCATTCCATGTGTAGTAGGAAAGTTGTGATCACACAAGTTTTCGGCCAAGAGAGGCTCTTCATGGGAGATGCTTTATAGTTCATTTTTTACTATCACTATTGAGTGTATGCTCAACATTGATTATAGGATTGATGTACTTTCATATTTCATTTATCTTCATTTTGTGAGACCTCCTGCCATCTTGTAGTTTCCTTTTTGATTTATATTAATAAAAACACCAGTAAGCACCCAACTTAGTGGTATATTTGGTTTAAAAAAAGATATAAGAAATATTATTTAAGCAAATAAGTATTTTAAAATAATATTTGAAGCTTGTAAAAATATAAAAAGTTATTTTGACTCAAAACAAAAATGTTAAATGCAATTAATTATAAAATATGAGCTATTATTGCAAAGATGCGTAAATAACATAAAAATGCAAATATAATTATAGAAAATGAAGTAAAATATTATAAGATATGCATATGAGTATAAATGACTAATTTAAATCACCCAAAATAATTTGGGAGCCAATTATTAAATATCGGATAATTAAAAATGCAAGAAATCAATTTAAATGCTTTAAAAATTAAGAAAATTACTTATATGACCCCAATAAATTGGGTAATAGTGCAAAAATAATATTTTGAAAGTATATAAAATATTTTATAAAATATGAGGACAAAATTGGGTATCAACAGCTGCCCCTCTTTACCGGGAATGATGAAAGAGTTGTCGGTTAAAGAAAATGATGACCAATTTTGTTCGAATGAACGAGGATGAGGTATTTACTTTTTTAAAATGGGGGCTGAACCCTGGTTCCTGAGTTGCCTACATATCCCTGCTATTACGGGAATCAAGTCGTGTGCAGTTCTGGATCCAACGGCAAACGAAGCCGATGAAGCTGTTATAGAAGGGGCATACATTTTGAAAAAGGATCTTTTCTAGGTAGGGTAGTTTCATAAGTAGTGGATAATTTTAGGTGGAGCTATGAATGCGAAATTAAACGTTATGGATGTGCAAGACAAATGCTTGAGCGATTATGGGATAAAAACCTTCAATTGCAGGTTATCGATTACATTTGAAGTAATTAAAGGATGTGAACGTTGTGAATGGAAACCAGAGAGACAATTGCTCCTGTTTGTTGGACGGTTACCTTTCGAGTTACCTACAAAACTTAAAATACGATACACGCGAATATATATAGTTATTGCGGAAATTTAAACATGATGCAAATTTCCTTCAGACCATGAGATTTGTCTTTCAGATGATGAGGATGATGTCCTTAGACCATGACATCCTGGGCCATGAAGTGTATGATAAGGGATTCACAGGCCATGAAATGATGTCCTTGGGCTATGAGGATGATGCCTTAGGACTATGACACCTTTGAATAATGATATGCAGTTTTTAGAGATCCTCACGCCATGGCATGATGTGTTTGGGCTATGAGGATGATGCCTTTGGACTATGATGCCTTCGGACATTGTGGCGATGTTTCAGCCCACGGGCAGGATCCGCCCCTCCGAAGTCTAACATGCTAGTAGTGGGCGCAGGATTAGTAATATATACACGTGTTTTGGTGAGGGGCTTTTGAGCCAGGCACCCGGGCTGAGTGATTGTGTGTGTGATGGTGAGGGGAATTTGAGCCAGGCACCTTGAGTGTGCTGAGAGTGAGTTTACTTGATGCTTTCACTGGGATATTATTGACTTGACATGTATATTTGACATGTAGGCATAGAGATGTATTTTCCTCATGCTAGTTGATAAACAGATGATATTGACTTGACGTGTAGGCATAGAGATGTATTTTCCTCATGCTAGATGGAAACATGATGTTATTGCTTTGACATGTATACTTGACATGTAGGCATAGAGACGTATTTTCCTCATGCTAGTTTGTAAATGAAATGTCTTATCTGTTGTTAAAGGTTTGAAAAAGTTATAGTTCTCTGATAAGCTCATATTGTAGTAATTCCGGTTAATGATTCGGGCATTGATTGTTAAATTTGTAAAGCATGCCTAATTTCCCGTATTTGTCACCAACCTGTTCCTTTGAGTTATTTACTATTATATATTGTCATAATTATATCTTGTGTTGTTATTGATTACTGGTGTTGGACATTGACCTTCTTTCGAGCTCGTCACTACTTCCAGCATGAGGTTAGGTTTGTTGCTTGTTGAGTACATGGGGTCGGTTGTACTCATACTACACTTCTACACCTTGCGTGCAGATCTTGGCTCTAATGGTGCTGTTGCGTCGTGGGGGATGGCATTGAAGATGTAACTGTGTTCCGGATATAGCTACCACTTGTCCTTGATAGTTTTAGATTTTGAATGTTGTTTATGTACATTCCAGATAGATGTTGTATCTATTTCACACTAGTTTTATAAATCTAAGTCTTAGCAACTCATTTTGTACTACCAGCCCTTGAGATTGTTGCATAGAAGTTCAATTATTTTAATCATGGAGTCTTATTATTCTTATTTTATTTGGGTTGACTGTTATTGGGCTTACCTAGCGGGTTGGGTTAGGTATCATCACGATTAGATGGATTTTGGAACGTGAGAAGTTGGTATTAGAGCTCTAGGTTCATAGGTTCTACAAATCATGAGCAAATATCTAGTAGAGTCTTGCGATTTAGTATGATAACGTCCATAACTATCTTCGCGAAGCTACAAGGCA